AGGAAATTGTGAGCTTTTTTTTTTTTTTTTTTTTGAGACGGAATTTCACTCCTGTTGCCCAGGCTGGAGTGCAATGGCCAGATCTTGGCTCACTGCAACCTCTGCCTCCCAGGTTCAAGCAATTCTTCTGTCTTAACCTCCCAAGTAGCTGGGATTACAGGCACTTGCCACCACGCCTGGCTAATTTTGTATTTTTAGTAGAGGTGGGGTTTCTCCATATTCGTCAGGCTTGTCTCGAACTCCTGACCTCAGGTGATCCACCCACCTCGGCCTCCCAAAGTGTTGGGATTACAGGCATCAGCCACCACACCTGGCAGTAAAAACTACTTTTATGAAAAGCTATCAATGATATGGGAAAAGCTTATAAAGTCACAAAAATAAGATGCAAATTACTTTTAGAGTAATACCTCAACAATGTTTTCTAAAGGGCCCAGAGGGAAAAAAAAAAAAGAAAAAAATAGACTCCAAAGTGCCCAAATATTATAATGTTATAAGAAATCTTTATTTTTAAAAACAGAAACTTTCTCATATTGTTAGGGTTTTAGGTTTGTTTTTTTTTTTGAGATGGAGTTTTGCTCTTCTTACCCAGCTTAGAGTGCAATGGTGCAATCTCGGCTCACTGCAATCCCCACCTCTCTGGTTCAAGCAATTCTCCCAGATCAACCTCCCAAGTAGCTGGGATTACAGGCATGTGCCACCATGCCCAGCTAATTTTGTATTTTTAGCAGGGATGGGGTTTCTCCATATTGGTCAGGCTGGTCTCCAGCTCCCGACCTCAGGTGATCCACCCACCTTGGCCTCCCAAAGTGCTGGGATTTCAGGCGTGAGCCACTTGAGCTTGGCAGTTGTTGGTTTTTTTGTTTTGCATCTTATACTTTTGCTTTATTTACAGTTTCCTATGCATGTTACTATTTCTAAGTTGGAGAAAAAATAAAATGAAAACGTAAGTTTCTCAGATAATTATTAGAAATATGTTTTAAAAGAACATCAAATGGATTTTATAAGGACTTATATGAATAAATTTTCTTTTCCGTACATTTGAAACACTTTGTGATTTTTTTTTTTTTTTTTTTT